CTGCAAGGCACTTTGAGTTTTTTTGTGAATGATTTTAAAATTATGGTCGTCAAAATGAACACTGATTTATAAAATGAAAAAGGTCAGTTAACAATAATTCCTGGGTTATTTCTATTAGAAAAAAATGCTGACATATTTTGTTATGAATACAAGATCAAAAAATTGAAATAAAAAATAAAAGTAAGATAGGATCATGACAAAGATTCTAAACAAAGATTTACAGCTGATCTAGAATTGCAGGATCATAGAAAGACTGAATTTATTTTACCAGGCGAGATATGACAGTGAAATTTAATATTATCAGTGAAATTTAAATAAAGATTTCTTGAAGTAGTACATTTTAACATGATCAGATCTGTTCCATCATTGGTCATTCATACAGGTAACTCATACAGCATAATAAATAAATTTGATAAGATTTACTTAAGAAAGAAGCCAGTCCGAATTATCTTCTGTAAAGCGTGTGATCTGGTTTAGAGTTGATGTTCCCTTGATTTGTGATTCTTCCTTTGTGAGGAAATGCCCGAACACCATTTTGTGTTTTCCGAGTGGTATATGGTGGAGATGGGAAAATCTGATTCAGGACCTTTTGAGTCAAGCCATTTCCCAACATTTAGCTGTGCAGTTATGTAAAACAGTTTGTGTAATAAGGGGCTGCATTTTTAATTATTAACTAGATATCTCTCTGCTGCTCTTCCATTTAGTAAAATTATGACTATGGTCTCAATTCCAATTTCTTGTCTGTTCCCCTCAATTCTCTTGGGGATCAAAAATGTTTGTAGCTGAGCTTAGACTATATTTAATTAATTGCCTTTAGTCTTCTTTCAGAAAGAGATCTCCAAAGACTGAAAATCCTCTCAAAGAAAATAATCTTCCTTATCTCAGTCTTAAATCACTAACTTTTAAACTATGTCCAGTACTGCACACATCCCCAAAAAGGGGAAATATGCTCTTATCATCCACCCTGTCAAATCCCCACAGTCTCTTGCCTAACTGGTTCTATGTTTCCTAGAAAATAAAAAATTCCTTTGTCCCAGGAATCAGTCAAGTGAACCTTCACTGACCTACTTCTAGTGCAATTCTACCCTTATTGATGTAACACAATCAACACTGTACACAGGACTCCAGCTGCAGCAACACTTCCTGACTTTTACATATGCTTGCCTTATAATAAAAACTAACATTCCATTTGCCTTCCTAATCACTTGCTGCACCTGCATACTAATACCATGTGATCACAGATCAAGATATCCAGATCTCTCTGAACTGTCAAGTTCTGCAGTCTCTCTTAAATGAAGTAATATGTCTTTTATTCTTCCTGCCAAAGTGGACAATTTCACACTCTTCCACATTATACACCATCTGCCAAATATTTGCCTCTTCATTTAACTTATTATCCATTGTCATCTCTTTATGTCCCCTTGACAAAATACTCTCGCCTATCTTTCTGTCAACAGCAAATTTGACTACAATGCAGTCAATACCTTCATAAAAGTCATTAACGTAAATTGTAAATAGTTGAGGCCCCCGCACCAATCTCTGTGGCAAATAAAAACCAAACAAATGGAAGATGCTGTGAAAAAGTTCTGAGGAAGGGTCACTTGCGCTGAAATGTTAACTCTGATTTCTCGTCACAGATGCTGCCAGACCTGCTGAGCTTTTTCAGCAATTTCTGCTTTTGTATCTAATCTCTATGGCACTCTGCCAGTTATGACCTGCCAAGAATTACCTATTTACCCTTGAACAATCCTCTGTGCATGCTAATCAATCACTCCGAACACCATGAGTTCTTATTTTGTGCAGTAACATATGATTTGACATTTTTTGAGATCTAAGTACACATCTTTAACTACAATGTTTGTTACTTCCCCAAAAGAACTCTAATAAGTTAGTTAAAGATGATTTCCCTGTAGACTCTGCTTGATTAACGTACCCACAATTGTCCATAAAACACAGAACATAGGAGGCCCTTCAAGCTTGCTCCTCCATTCAATATGATCGTGGTTGATCATTCAACTTAGTATCTTCTTCCTGATTTTTCCCCATACACTTTTATCCTTTTAGTCCTAAGAGCTATAACTAACTCTTTCTTCAAAACATTCTTAGTTCTTTACTGTTAGTTGCACTCCCTCAAAAGCCACAGCATCCTTCCTCAGATAAGGAGACCAAAACTGCACACAGATTAGAAGATAGGGACAGCCCAGTTTGAAGGACTCACCACTACATATATTGAAAACCCACTTCAATTTATTTAACTAAATCTGCACAAGGCTATTTGTCTAGCCAAAACTACCATATCTGATGGAAAAGAAAGGGAACACATCTACCAACCAGTGACAGAATTTCATCAGCAAGGCAACCTGACTAAGCAACTATCTGCAGTGCCCTAGAATAATATGGCTTTTTATTAAAAATTGGATTACAATGCATGTGACAGAAGTTTGATTTGTTCTGCAGTCATCCTGATTTAAAAGACTTTTTTCTCTTTGCCAGGAAACTGGTCAGTAGCTAACAAAATAAATGATCAAGAAATTTATGTTTTTTTTATTAAGAGCACAATACGTGCAAGAAATGTACTTTTAATACTTGGGGATTGCACCAGCGGGGCTTACATTTTAAACGTATGAAGAAAGCATAGTTGAATTATTAATCCTGTTCACTTCACTATACACATCCACCAATGCAAAGTCAGCTCTGCCCACTTCATTGGTAGTCATGTAATTTACTGGAGCAATTTAAGAGATCCTATGGATATGACCAAACAAGGTTCAGACACTCAATGATTCAAATTTCTCCAAACCTTTTACAAGTCCTCCATTTGCAGGAACGTATATTTATTTGTGAAAGTGTCAGCAGCATCTTTAGAGACAAAAGCATCTTTATGTTTGCTTGCAATCCAAATCCGAGCATGTTTTTACTTATTTTCGCGTTTGATCTCCAGGAAGTAACTTCGAGCAGCTAATATCTCATAGATCAATGTTTTCTCACCAGCTGTGCATAGACAGTTGCTTCGAAGTAATTAAAAGTTCTGCAAAGAATGGCTTGTAACGTATTATGCACTTTGTAAACAACTGTCAGTATCTGACACCTCCTCTCACCCCCCCTATTCCCAATTCCTGCTCCCGAGATGAGGCATTCCACTCGCGGACACCCCAGATGTCCTCGTTTATCAAGGACTGCAACTTCCCCTCCACTGTGGTCAAAAACGCCATCGACCGCGTCTCTCGCGTTTCCCGCAACTCATCCCTCACACCCCCTCCCCGCAATAACAACCAAAACAGAATCCCCCTCGTCCTCACATACCACCCCACCAACCTCCGGATCCAATACATCATCCTCCGGTACTTCCGCCATCTGCATACTGACCCCGCTACCAAAGACATTTTTTCCTCCCCACCCTTATCTGCCTTCCGGAGGGACCACTCTCTCCATGACTCCCTTGTCCGCTCCACACTCCCCACCAACCTCACCAACCCCAGCACTTTTCCCTGCAACTGCAGAAAGTGCTACACCTGCCCCTACACCTCCCGCCTCACCCCCATTCCAGGCCCCAAGAAAACCTTCCACATCAAACAGATGTTCACCTGCACATCTGCTAATGTGGTATACTGCATCCACGGTTCCCGATGTGGCCTCCTCTATATCGGGGAAACCAAGTGGAGGCTTGGAGACCACTTTGTGGAACACCTACGCTCAGTTCACAACAAACGACTGCACCTCCCAGTCGCGAACCACTTCAACTCCCCCTTCCACTCCTTGGACGACATGTCCATCCTGGGTCTCCTCCAGTGCCACAACAATGCCACCCAAAGGTTGCAGGAACAGCACCTCATATTTCGCTTGGGAACCCTGCGGCCCAACGGTATCAATGTGGACTTCACAAGCTTCAAAATCTCCCCACCCCGACCGCATCCCAAAACCAGCCCAGCTTGTCCCCGCCTCCCTACCCTGTCCTTTCGCCCACCTATCCCCTCTTCCCACCTCAATCCCCACCCCACCTCCTACCTACCAGCCTCATCCCCGCCTCCTTCACCTGTCCGTCTTCCCTGGACTGACCAACCCCCACCTAACTCCCCATCTACACTCACCTTTACTGGCTCCAACCCCACCTCTTTGACCTGTCAGTCTCCTGTCCACCTATCTGCTCCTTTATCCATCTTCCATCCGCCTCATGTCTCTCTATTTATTTCAGAATCCCTTTCCCCTGCCCCATTTCTGAAGAAGGGTCCAGACCCTAAACGTCAACTTTCCTGCTCCTCTGATGCTGCTTGGCCTGCTGTGTTCATCCAGCTCTACGCCTGGTTATCTCAGATTCTCCAGCATCTGCAGTTCCTACTATCTCTGTCAGTATCCGACATTTCTACCATCTAGACAGTCAATGTGTGATTACAAAACCATTAAGTTTAACATGGTCTGGGAGTTGAGCATACCCAGAAAGACCAGGACGTACAATTTTTAAGAGATAAATTTTCTGGAACACGAGAAAGTTAGAGAGGTTGAATAGGTATAAACAGGCAGAAAACGGCGGAAAATCTCAGCAACTCTGCCAAAATGTGTGGAGATAGAAAGAGAATTACTATTTCGAATCCACTCTGATTCTTCTAAAGTTCCAGTATTTTGCTTTCATTCGATCATGAAAAGTTATCGGTGAATGATATATTTCAAGACGTCATGCTGAAAATACAGAAAAAAAAATAAGACGAAACAAATGTGACCGAAAACTAATGAACACAATAAATACAATATAAAAAGGGATAGATTCTGCAGAGAAAAAGGGATGAGAGTCACTGGCGTGATGAATATAAACGCAGAAACATATTCACAGGAGAAGGGAGAGAGATTGAGAAAAAAGTCGGACAAGCGTCCTGATCTAATTTCAGAAAACAAACAGCTGTCGGGTCCTCTTAGTCGCCAGCACGAAGATTCTCACCTTACAACAGCAGCAGGCCACCATTATTAAAACCCTGTCCCACGGCAATGCTAACAACGGCCTCAGGGTAGATCCCCACTCAGTGGTTGATCACTGTGCGGCTGGGATCTGATCAAAAGGCGGGATCAGCGAGTGACGTTCGCTGATCATCGCCAATGAGGCGCGCGGACGGCTCGAGCCGGCCTCTCAGTTGAAGAACGAGGCCTTGTACTGCCGGAAGGTCTGCATCAGTTTATATTCACTATTTTTTTCCAATAGTTAGTAACCGTTTATATATTCTAGGGGGGAAAAAAAAACACACGCACACACAAGAATGATGACGTTTCTGTGTTTAAGTATGCAAACGTGTGAAGGCGGTAGGGAGGAATAGTCGCCGGTAGGCAGCACGCTTCTTCCTGTTATTTACAGTTTGAGAGACAAACACTGGGCAGCTGAGGCCTTGTTTGAAATGAGTATGTGTGAAGCTGAATATTGGAGCTGGAATTTAGGAAGTCGGAAATACTGCTGTAGTCCTAGTCCCACATTGGGACAGTAGGGAATGGAAACTCTTTACAGGAAGCAATACAAGTGGTTTTGAGTACTGAAATATTATGGGGACATTAAAAATTGATAATGTTTTTAATCTCGCATTCAATTTATAGTCAATAATCACAGATTGTTTTATTAAACCCTTCTCTTAGTCTATAACCATTGTGATTTAAATAAAATGCCCTCTGACATTCCTCAGCAATATAAGTAGCGAATAGCGAAAATGTACAAGATGTAAAGAAAACCTCAGTCACATTAAATCTATAATATATATGCATTTTGAATTTTATTAAATGCTAAAAGGACAATTTGAAATATTTTTTCAATGCATCTGTGTTTGTTCAATGTACAGTAGTTACATTTTAAATTCTGGTTTAATTACACTTCTATGAAATGGTTCTGTTGGGTTATAGTTGGTTTCCAATTTTGCATTTTTCATTATTATTTACAAATGCAGTGATAGTAGCCCAGATCTACATAAAGTGTAATGGTTTAGTTCTCCATAGATAAGAGGTGTCGTTTGAAGTTGCACTGACATTTCACCGTGTCCTGTTCCATCTGAAAATCAGTAGTTTCACACAGGAAAGTGGAACTAAATTATTTTTATTTTGAAAGATCTGTGCAACATCACAAGGCTTGAGTCAGTCAGGATTGTTTTTTTTGTGGTTAGAACTACCTTTTAAAGTTTATAGATACATGTTTACACTTGTAAACATATTTACACGTGGCTTCATGTAAATAATTCTATCAATGTCCTTTTCAAACAGTGCTGTAATTAGTTCATAGAACTAATATTCTTGTAAATACAATTTATACAAGTGAATTATAAATTAAGAAAAACATCCAGAAGCACTTCAGAATTAAGGGAGAAAATAGATGCAAAATCAAGGGGGAGATATTTGGAAAGAGCATCAATCTGCTTGGTCAGATATATTCAGTCTTGGAGGAGGAAACCATATTTGTACAAATGAAGGAAGAGGACAAGCACCAAAAGGTGTTATCAGAGGAACCGAGAACTGGGTGAGGTTCATAGATTGAATAAAATTGTTAAACTTGAATTATTGGGAGATATGGAGTCAGTGTTGGGTATTGAGGATGGGTGTTGAGGAATTCAGAAGATTGAGGGGGGATCTTATAGAAACATATAAAATTATGAAGGGAATAGATAAGATAGAAGTAGAGAGGATGTTTCCACTGGCAGGTGAAGCTAGGACAAGAGGGCATAGCCTCAAGATTAGAGGGAGCAGATTTCGGACTGAATTGAGAAGGAATTTCTTCACCCAGAGGGTTGTTAATCTATGGAATTCCTTGCCCAGTGAAGTAGTTGACGTTACTTCAGTAAACGTTTTTAAAGAAAAGGTAGATTTTTTTTGAACAATAAAAGAATTAAGGGTTACGGTGAGAATGCAGGTAAGTGGATCTGAGTCCACGAAAAGATCAGCCATGATCTTATTGAATGGCGGAGCAGGCTTGAAGGGCCAGATGGCCTACTCCTGCTCCTAGTTCTTATGTTCTTATGTGTGTTGGTCATGGTGGATGATTGGGTACAAGTAGTGAATTTGTGAGTGTGTGTTGATTTAGAGATTTTTCTGGGATGGAAAGCTCACAATTAATTGAGTCTAGAGCTGATATAGGCTTAAATCAAGGATTCAATAGCAGATAAACCTTAAGAAAGAGGCGTAGGTTGAGGCTTTTCTGCCCATTGAACCTACTATGCTACTTAGTATGATTATGACTGATCTGATGAACTCCACTTCCCTGCTTGCCCCTGTTACCTTTTAAGTCCTTTGTCAACAAAAATCTATCTAACTCAATCTTGAAGATGTACAATGACACGTTCTCCAGTACTCTGTGGAGGAGAATTCCAAAGATTATGATCTCTGCGAGAAGAAATTCCTTCTCTAGTTTTAATGGGAAATTTCTTATTTTTAAACTCTGTCCCCTAGTTCTAGTCTCCCCCACAAAAGGAGGCATTCTTCCAGCAGTAACAGTGTACATCCCCCTCAGAATCTTATATATTTAAATAATATTATCACTTATTCATTCCAATGACTATCAGCCCAATTGCTCATCCTTTCTCCATGAGTCAACCCATTCACCCCAGAAACCAGCCAAGTGAACTTTCTCTGAACTGCTTCTAATGCAAGGGAAACTCCTAGAGAAAGGAAATAACTCTCCACAGTACTTCAGCTTCAGACTCACCAATGCACTGTTGCAGTAAAATTCCTTCCTTTTACCCACCAACATCTTACAGTAAAGGCTGACATCAAATTTACCTTCATAATTACCTCCACCACTGAAGATGGGTGGAAGAAATGTTTTTGCTTTGTTTGCTAGTCTGTTTGTAAACAATATATCTCAGGAACTACTGAATGATTTTAACAAAACTTGATATACAGATAGAGTTAGCACAAGGAAGAGCTGATTACATTCAGATTGGAGGGAAGGAAAACTGGTAACAGGAAGTTATTGGATGTGGCTTTATGCTAACTTTTTGGATTAAGTAAGACCCAGATCTTTGTTGTGCAGCATTCTGTAGTGTTTCTCCATTTAAATAATATTCTATTTCTCTTTTCTTCCGGCCAAAGTGAATAACCTCAAATTTTACTACATTATTCTCTAGCCAAATATTTTGCTAACTGATGTCCTCAGTATATATATCCCTTTGCAGATCCTTTGTATCCTTCTCACAACTTATTCTGCTACCTATCCTTTGCATTATCAGCAAATTTGCAGATAATATAGTTGACCTCATCATCCAATTCATTAATATTCGTAAACAGTTGAGTCCCACCTCTGATCCTTGTGGCCCTCCAGCATGACCGCTTGCCAGCCTGCAAGTGACTCCTATTTTTCAGAATCTATCTTGGTTAGCTAATACGCTAAAAACATTAATATACCATCCCAAGCAAAATGGATTTTTATCTTGTGGCAAGCTATTGAATGACTTCTGGAAACCAAAATCCTTCATGTTTACTGGTGTCTGTTTTTCCACCTTGCTTAATACTCAATGAAATTTTTCAAAGCGGTTGCATAAATTGTTCAGACGTGACTTCCCTTTCACAAAGCCATGTCATTCTACTTGATTGCAATTTGATTTTCCAACTTAGTAACAGATTCTTATATTTTAACATTGACAGATGTTGGATGCAACACAGCTGTAGTTCCTGATTTCCTGACTTCTGTCTCCCTCCTTGAATAGTAGTATTACATTTGTGACCTTCTAGTCCTCTTGGACTCTTCCAAAATCTAGGGAATTTTGGAAGATTGTAACCAACACATCCACAAACTATGCAACCACATTTTTTCAATGACCCTAGGATACAGGTCAATATCTTTTTCTCTAGTGATGGTGATAGTTTTAAGGTCTTTCACCTCCTGCTTTTTTGCAAATTTGGGGGTACATTTTGTATCTTGTAGTATGATAGGTAGGTAGGTACGATGTAATTGAAAAGTAAAAAGAAGTAGACAGTCTTCCTGATGAAGACCATCTGGGTTGAAAAATCTGAATGTCAGTCAGACAGGCCAATAAGGATGTGACGATTCTGTTTCAACCGAAAATAATGGCAGTCAGGACATGAAATAGGAAGGAAGGTGTGAAGTTTGTGGCAAGCCAAAAAGTGGCTCGAGTCTGCCCATTATTTAGTTGGAGTTAGGGTATGTGTTTCCATGAAAATATGCTGCATACACAGTCTGATCATGCTTGGAGAGAGGTATGACTCTAATGTGTCATTAGTGTATCTGTGAGTGCTGATGGAATATCTGTGGATTACGTCACCAATGGACGATATGGACTAACCTGAATCCAAGAATGAAACTAAAGGGAATTTTGTAAGTAATAGTGCAGAGAAAGTCATCAGTGTGGATGTTCAACCGACAATTGTATAGGTAATGGGAGCTGGATGGCATTGAAATTTTGGAAGAAGATGGTGCATGGATGTCTACATAGAGCATATTGGGGAAAAAAATGCAACCCTGGTCATGTAAAAAAGGTGCATTCATTTTAGTTTTGTTGTGTTTAGACTAAAACTAGATTGGAACAATTGAAACAGAATATTTGGAGATGGGCAAGGTGACGATATAAGCAGGTGGCAAATGGACCTTTCGGAATGAAGATTGAAATCAGGCATTTAGTTAACAATGACATGCTGATGATTGTGGTTTTACAAAGAGAGAGGTGACAATTGTATTGAAAAGCTAGATAACTGGACTTTGAAATAGTTTAGAATGTCAGCTGGCATGCAAGGGCTAAGAAGGGAACTGTCATTGGGAAATTAATAAAAATGGAGTTAAAATTTTTTTGTTGTGTTTTGTGAATACGATGAACTTAGCAAATGTGTGAGAAACTAATAAGGTACGCATTCTGGGCTATGCTAGGAGGTAGAGAGCATTTGGTTTATAAGAGGAAGAATCTAGCATTGTTTTCCCTCCCAGATGATCCTTATGACATGAGTTGTGCTGGCAGAAGGGAGTAAGGTTCTGTGGAACTTCATGTGTTTTGGGTAGATCTGATGATGGATGGGAAATCTAATTTGTCTGTAAAATATTCTTTTAAAGTATCTTAATTAAATGGGATATTGATCCTTCAAAATGAACGGGAAAGAATTAATGCTTTATTCAATACAAAAGTACTGATTTTGTGTTTGAGTTAAACTTGTGTGGTTAATGTAGGCTGATTAAATACAACTAACT